TGTCTATTGGTGGAACCACTATGCAATGGATGCTGATGGCTATGAGAAAAGGATCTCTTCTTAAAACTAAAACCGCCATTGTAGGGACCTTTAGTCTTCGCTCTCTTCCTCGACCCCTCTAAAGTCTCAAGCACCCTATGAGCCTCCAAAAACCAAGCACTCTCTACGGCATGAGCATAACTAACAAGTCCTATCTACAACCCTAGTGCCCAGAATAGAGAAGGAGACAGTCCCCGAATAAACCTCGTAGCCCATGCCCTGTCATCGGAGACATGTCCAATAGCATACCGAGATAACCGTGTGAACCGCTCCTCGTACTTAGAAACTGTGATACCCAAAGTCTGCACTAATCTCTCAAACTCGACAGTCAACTCCACCTGCCAACTAGTAGGTAAGAATCTCTTTATAGACTCGCTACGGAACTCTTCCTAGGTCAAATGAGCTGCACCAGCCAATCTAGTAAGCAATAATTGGTCATACCTTGCCTTAGCCACCCTTCTAAATCTAAAAGCAGTAAGACCCACTCGTCTGAGATCAGAGCACTGTAAAAACTAAAATATGCCATCCAAAGCATCCAAAAACTCATAGGGATCCTTTGTCGCAATCAAGCCAGAAAAAGTAGAAGGATCTAGCCTAAAAAAATCTTAAATATTCGTCGAAGCCTGAATGCTGCACAGGGTCTGTCACTGCTGGAGTGGCAAAAGTGCTTATCGGCGTGCTAGCTAGAGCTGACGACTCTGGTGCTGCTCTTACGGGAGTAGTGGTAGTGCCCGCTTGTCCACTGACTGGAGTCGACTACCCACTCGCTCTGACACCACTCTCTGCGAACTCCGCCATACTTCTCTTGAGTCCTTAAATGCCCTCCAGAATACCCGTCAATAACCCAAGTAACATGGCCAAATCCGCACCTCCCACCGACTCACGAGCTGGCCTCGTCGTCCTCTCACATCCCCTGCCACGCCCTCTCCCCCTCGTCAGAGGTGGGACCATTCCATTTGCGAGATCCTCAGACGCCCTAGCCTCTACTGTCTCTCGAGGGGTACCATGTGCATCTCCCGATGGATCCATCTACATAGAACGACAAAATCAAAATAGCACCAAAAACACGGGCACAAGGGAATCAGAAACCAACACCAAGCACACGCTAAAAGGTTTTCGGCAATCCGTCTATTATAGAAGTGGGGCCTTCACCCCCATAATAAAAGTACTACCAAAGAACCCTGCTCCCTTTTACTCTCAGAAATAAATCTATAACTCTGATACCACCCTATCGTGCCCCGACCCTGGGCCCGTGACCAGCACTAGGGTCCACTGACCCTAGTAAGCCTTAACACCCTAGTTAAAATCTGAGAATACATAACATACACTAAGCGTAACAATACAACATCTAAAAAAAATCACATGGGATCTTGTCTGAGAGTACAAGGAAGCTGCTCTAGAGTATAATAAAGAAAATATATAAAAAGAAGTGGCCATACATCCATCAAATCCGTAGCTGCCAACTCCCACTCTGGCATGCTAGTGGAGACAAGTACAACAAAACAAATCTGAAATGATGATAATAGGTGAGTCAAAAACTCAGTGAAAATAGATGATACCTAATCTATGCATGTTGGGATATGTATCACACCAAAAGTCCAAAATCATACATATACAGTGATCAGTAAAACATATCAAATATACGCTTAAGGGTGCTATCAACCAAACATCATATCACATCGTCGGACCCAGGCTTACTCACCACTAGACGCTATAGATCACCGTACTCCAGCTGAGTTCCTACCATCCCAAATCACATCACACGATACCATCCTCACATACAAGTCAAAAGCAAGTATACATACTCATGTACAATTTATATCTCAAAAACCAGTATCACATATCAACATAGCTCATCAACAGTTCATAAAACACATAACACATATCTTGAGTGTATTATATAATCAAAATACAGTTTCCAAATCACATAATCATCATGTCAGAAAATTACAGTATAAAAACACAAGCATAGAAAGGGTATCATCACTCATAATACAAGAGTTGAACAAAAAAGAACTCCCGATCACCCTCACTCCACTCGCTGATCTAGATGTGCCTCCACCGACATATCTGTAACAAAAACAAATACACAAAACCGTCACCATCACCAAGACCAACACAAGAAACTAGCTCGACAGCCCAAAACTAACTCAACTCCCATCCTGACACCATGGCACGCATCTAAAGGCACCACTACCCCATCATCGAAACCCACACAACTCATGGACACTCATTAATCTAACTTAACAAACCTTGAACCACAATGATCCAGCCTCAAAACCCTCAAACCACAGTAGACCAGCTTTCAAAACTCTCGAACTGACCTAAACCAGTCTAAAACTACCTCAAATCGATATAAACCAGCCATGAAACCCTCAAAATCAGATTCAAAAGGCTCAAAAATCCTAAAAAATGGCCTAAACCGGCCTAAAAGGCTTTGAACCGGGCCAAAAACCCTAATATTAAGTGCTAGTACACTGAACCAAGCCCTGTTCACCTTGAACAGGCCACCCAAAAATCACCAAACCACAAGGCTAGCTAGATTTCATCATGTTGAACCAAGAACCGGTTCAACCTCCCCAAGAACTGGCCTAAAAACTAGTGAACCGGCCACCTAACAAGTATTTCACTAAACCAGCCGGTTCACCTTGAACCGGCCATCCAAAAATTCCCAAACCCACTTAGTTTGATAGCCCTCATCTTCCTGGACCAGGAACCGGTCCAACTTCCAAATTTCAAATCAATTTGACCACTGAACCGGCTGGTCAAACCCACTGGCCGGTTCAGTCAAACCCCTTCTTTTTTCTTTTTTCTTTTTTTTTACACTAGCCAGCTCAGCTCGGCTTTGTCTAGTTGGCTCGGCTTGGCTTTAGCTCGGCTAGCCGGCTTGACCCACCAGCTTGAGCCCAGCCCAATTGGGCCGACCCAAGCCCAACACAATTCTTTCCTTTTTCTTTTTCTTTTCTTTTTTTTTTGGTAGGCTAGCCCGCGGCTAAGCCCACAGGGCCGTAGCCCAGTAGGCTAAACCCAGCCCAGCTGGGCCTGCCTAGCCCAAGGCGAGGACCCGAATCCTTTCCAGGTCCTGTCTTCTTCGCCTGACGACTCAGGCATTCAACCTGGTTGTAGGGCGATTCCTACAACTAGAAAACTGAAAAAGAAACCAAGAAAAAATTAAACAAAAACCATAAACATACTTGGACGATTTGAAGCAAAACTCTCCCCCACACTCGAACGACCCCAACGAAGCTTCCAATCGGAAGGAAAGCCGATTAAAACACCCAAAAAACCCCCCGAACCTCTGCTGGCAACCCACAAACTCCGTTGGCCAGAAGTCACCAAAAATCCTCCACTCTCTCACTCGAAAACCAAAAATTGGCTGAGGGCTTTCACTCAATGGCCAAAAACGAGCTTAAAAGCTCGATCCAACTGATCTGCCAGCTCTCCATCATCACGGATGGGAGCTACAATAATCGAGTACTGTTTTGATATAATTTTGGTTCTGTCTCAATCAAGCCCTACAAACTTTGATTCCCTGCAATTTAGCCCCTCAATTTACACTTTGACCCCAGTAACCTTCAATTCTTACAATTAAACCCCTGGATCATTACAATAATATAGAAAACTTCTAATTCAACCAATAAGTTTTTTTAATAAATAGTCATCAAATACCTATTTATAAAAGAATTAAAATATTTCTATTGAATGAAAATCTTAATTATCTGACCAAATTTCAAAATAAATGTTTAAAAGTCGAGACCTGAAGGACTCAAGTGCTTTTAAACGAACTTTGTTCTTTTCCATTCTTCATTATTATTTCTACCTAAAATGTGACAAGATGAAGTAAACCAAATGTGGATTTTTTTTTTCCTGATAAGAATCAAATGTGGATTTTGTTTGTCAATTCTCAAGACTTTATTTCTTTTATTGGTTACAGAATTTAGTGGTAGTTCCACTTCTCTGTTCCTTTTTTCTATATTCAATCAAGGCGCGAAGCTGTTCCTTGGTCCAAATAACTATATGCAAGGGGTTTGGGCTTCTACATGTTAGCCAAAACAGTAATGGATCCAAACCCAGATAAACAATAATGGATCATAACCCAGCTGCAAACATTCCCAGTCACCGGGAGAAAGAAAAAAGAAAAAGAAAAAGTGGACCGTGAGGATTGGTGCTCTCTCAATCTGATGGCAAGGTGTAATGTGGGACCGGAGAAGAATTGGTTAAACACGGGTGATAACCATTTCAAATCTGTAGCTAAAGAAATAAAGTATTTTTGAGGGCAACCTTTTTTTAGAGACCTTTGATTCAAGATAAGTCATGAACTAGTGGCTTATTGCCTGTGAGCTAAGTGATTGCAGACATTCCACTTACCCACGAACTTTCATTTAGGACTACGAAAGGGATTGAATAAGGGAATTCTCCACTAATGTATGTGATATCTCAATGAGAAAAAATGGAGGCTTGAGAAGTTTTGAAAAGGGTTCTGGTTGGTGTGACACATGAAATTTTATCATATTGAGAATTAAACTCTGGTTGAAAAAGAATTAATAAGTAGAGGTGAAATATGATATAAAAAAAAGTAATATCATTGTGGACTTCTTGGTCATATTAAGCCTCTTACGAGACTGCGGGTTAAAAATTCTCCTCCCAAAAAAAAACAAAAAACAAAAAACAAAACAAAACAAAACGAGAGGATTGCTTTACAACAACAGGTTGGGATTTCTTGCTCTCTGAATCTCTAATGCAGTTTTGTTTTTGGACTTCTTAAGTATGTCTTCTCTTTGTAATCATATAAATAAGTCGCAGCCTATCGGGAAAGGGGGGAGGGAGAGGGAGAGAGGAGTGAATTAATGATTTTCTGGGACTCCCTGCATCGTAACTATGACAAGAATGTTCCGTGCGAGTTTTCCATTGCGTGTTTTTGAAGGGGTACTCATAGTAATGATCCCATCGCTATTTTAAGAATGGGTGAGATTAGAATAACTTCAAAATCACACGGAAAAAAGTGATACAAACTAACATTACAAGGATTGAAGTGAAACGGTATACGCGCCAGAATAACCGACTCGGAAAGTGTGTAAATTCTTCAGTTTTGAAACCACCGAACCGACCCAAATGCATACAGAAGCTTCTGCACCTGTCTTTCTATCTGGCTCGCAAACTCAACAGGCAAGGGACGAAGTCTGACTACCCATTTCTTGGTTGCCATGGTAAGTTTCTGAGTCTTATCTGCATGTTCTGGCAATATTCAATGACATTTCCTTCGGCATCATCTCATTTGCTGGTGCCCTGATTCGTTGTGTTCTTGGTGGTGTTGAAGCCGCAGGGAGATTGCATACAGCTGCACCGGAAGAGGTATGGCTATTGCCATGACCATTTCGAAAGCAAGCACAAGAGAGAGGCCCGAGAAGTTCGCGAGCGTTCTGAAACTGCCCAAAGGGTTTCTCTCTCACACGCCTTCTACATATGCAGTCGTTTTCTATGTCTTGGTGTGTGTATATGTATTTATATGTAATATGTGATGGATAGAGTTTCGTGCTAAAATATTTGTTGTTTGTGAGTGCATTTTAATTGGAACAGGCATGGGCATCAAGGGTAAGACGTTTGCTAAGAAAAGATATGCCGAAAAATCCAGATGAAGAAACCGTGAGTGTATACTTTCATTTTTATTTTTTTTATGTTCTGTACAGATTCAATTCTGGCTGTCTGGGTTCCGAAATCACAACACTTCATTTGTTATACTTTTTAAGTATGATCAATTTTTTAAATCCAAATGGGTAAGAAAATCTTACATTCGTTTGCTATTTAAATCTTATTCTTTTCTCCATCGGCGTTTTTGTGTTGTTACCTTCTTTCTGTTTCTTTCTCCCTGTTTTTTTTTTTAAACCTTTTGGGGTGGGGGATTAAATGTAATTGTCAATTTGTTTTTACTTCTAAACAAGTAGATTATATATTGATATGAGCTATTACACATTCAGTCGTAACTAGGGGCAGTAGGAGGATACAGGCTTCTATTCTGCCAGCTTCAATGAAAAGAGCTTAAAAGTCTTTGAATTGAAATCATTTTTAGCTCTTTGATCCCAGTTAGTGATAAATAACTATCGTTAGTTAGACATATACACCTTAACTGTTCTTCTAACTTCCTTCTTTACCCAAATCTGGTTGCAACTTCAAAGTTCAACTGGCATCTAATTTTATCTTTTTTCTCCCAATCATATATATGTGAGGGAAAATGGATAACATGCAGATTTTATGGGAAAAAGATGTTAAGCTTAAAGATGCAATTGATGTAGGAAGGGTTAGAATTTCAGTGTTTGTCTCAAGAGAATAGGAATTGGAAGATGAAGCTGAGGATTTTTGATTTCTTTGGTGCATTGCTTGGGCTGTGAACTGTTTATCAATAAAGGAGAATAAGGAGTTCCCTTTTCACTGCTGTTAAGTCTGTTACTGAGCTGTGAAGACAATTTTATGATAAACTTATGGTATCAATTCTATTCCACTCACTGGATGAAAGAGATTATATGCACTAATAGGCTACTAGCATTGCTAATTCTACTAGGATTGGAATTTAACTTATAAATTTACCAATTTAACACTAGGAAAAAGCGAATCTGGAAGAATCTAAAATAATCTATTTCCTATAGCAATAATTTCCTTGTAGAAAATTTACTATAATTTAAGTTTCTTGAAATATAAATTTTCAAAAGAAATAAAATTGGAAAGGAAACAAATTATAATAAACCCTTATTTCCTGATCTTCAATTGTCTTCCACAATACGCATTTTGCGTTGGCACTTGAAGAAATAAAATTAAATAGTGATTTTTAATGTGTGATGGATAACCTTGCGATGAATACCTAATTGAGGTCTACACCTACACTACGAAGCCAATAGTCATGCCTAATTGCGTTTTGTTAGGATATATATACATATTGATATATACAGTTCATTGTAATTCCGAATTTTCAGGGAAACAAACTGAAAATGTCTCACATACTAAAAATATATTATCTTCATATTATATCATAGCTATGCACAGTATCAAAGTTATCGTAACTCTTATTTGGATTGAAAAAAATTGTTTATACATTACTTTTGGTTATCTTGACAGAATGGTTATGCATGAAGAATCATCCTCAAGACTAAGGCGGATGATGATGTTCGTAAGGGAACCATACCTGCTTATCTGCTTGATCATGAAACAACAATGTGGGCAAAGGTACGTTATTTAGTTGGTTGGAGTTTTTTTTTTTTTTTGTTTTCTTTCTTCTTTTATGTGAATTGATAAATATAAATATTTTAAGTGATCATATGCTGCTTATAATTCCTAATCCGGATATGCAATATGTAGGTTCTAAGCAATACAATAAAGCAAAAGCGTAAAGAGAAAGCTGGTAAATGGGAGGTTCCTCTACCCAAGGTATGTGTCTTCAAAAATTTCTTATAAGGTGTTCTGTTATTCAAGTTTTCTGTCTGCTTGACCCTGCTTCTTCTTCATTAACCAATTCCATTCCACCAGTCTAGATTACCAGATATAATGCTGACAACTTTTTCTTGAAATTTCTTCTCCTATTTCAGGGAAGGCCTGTAGGTGAAGATGAGATGTTCAGAGTGGTTAAATCTGGTAAAAGGAAAAGTAAGCATAAGGAGTTCTCCTTGATGGTATTGTGCTTGAATTAATAGTTATGCAATGCATTATCTCTCTTTTTATTTTTGTAAACTTTGTATTGATAAGTACTAAGAACATCAGAACATCATATGCATGGTTCATTCATGTTGTTTGTGGTTGAGGACTGCTTTAGAAGCAGAAGTAACTAAACAGAACTAGTAAGCAAAGAATCAATTAAGAAGCACACAACTGAATCACAAGTAATCATAAGTAAGCATTTTGCAGCTGCAATGTCATTTGTCAAAAGGAAAACTGTCACAAAATTCCTGAGACTGAGAAAACCCTCCTCTAACTAGAACTTTGAAAACATTAAGATAGCTATCTATAAAGATAAACTCAACTAATAAATCTGAAAATGTAAAACAAAAAATCCTAAGTAGAGAAGAATTTTGATGGCCTTTGTAATTTTGTTTGTCAGCCATCAAGTCTTTTTCTTCTTATGCCCTATGTGAACCTTGAACTTTGGTTCTTTTTTTCCATACAGGAGTTGAGGGCAGATACTACGGCTTTACCTGGGATTGCATGAATAGGCACCAAATTTTTACTCCGGCCACATAGTGCACTTTCAAAGGATGTCTGTAACTGCTGATAATAGTCATACTGCTAATCATAAAATTCTCATTTTTCTATAATTCCTTTCATTTAAGTTAAATATTGGAATGAAATTAAAGATTCTTTTCCTGTCATATTTCTGATCAAGGGGGACTTTCGTTGTTGAGGCTTGGTTTACTATTACAGCAGGTAGATGGTAGCAGGCATTAGGGCGAAGGTGCTTGGTGGTTGTTTCACAAATGAACGAAGGAATATAGGAAATATTACAGGAATGAGGTTGCTATTGGATGCTGCTTTACACAGTACAAAAAGATAAAGGATATATTACAAGAATGAAGTTGCTATTTGGATTGTGAAAATCATTTTAGCTTTTATATGCCTGCCTATTTTGGTATGTTAAGTGCTACATGAAACTACAGACAGAAATATATAAAAGGCTGCCTCTTCTTAGAATCTAGTTTGTAGTTACTAACATTGTTCTTTTGATGTTTATTTTGCAGCCAGTCAGTGGAAGAGGATGGTGACTAGACCCACATTTGTGGGACCAGGATTTACTAGGAAACCTCCAAAATATGAGCACTTTATTCGTCCTACAGGGCTTCGATTTACCGAAGCCCATGACACTCATCCTGAACTAAAATGCACATTCAATTTAGAGATCATAGGTGTGAAGAAGAACCCAAATGGTCCAATGTACACTTAACTTGGTGTCCTAACAAAGGGAACAATCGTCAAGGTAATATTTCTCCCAGTACTAAGATTTAGTTGCAATGTGTTAATTTTCAGAGTCTGATTAGGGGTGAAAGGAGTGGGGTTGTGTTTGGATGAAAAATTACATCCCATCCTACCTGTGTTGGGGCCTATCCCAAAATGCCACATGGCATGAGGAGAGATGGCTTACCTTCAGGGGCCGAATGAATAGTGTATAGAAGACAGTTAAGATTCCACTTTGCCACTTAGAACCTATATGGCCAGCCACTTGTCCCATTGCTACTATCCCCAACAAGTAGAGGCTAGGTTGTGCCTTGCAAACCTTAATCATCCACTATCCGATATCCACTTAGCCCCTGCAGCCATGTTTTCTGCTCCTTATGCCACATGGCACTTTGGATATTCCTCAACAAGGTTGGATTGGGTAGGTTGGGTAAAAGTAGGGACAGGTTGATGAGGTTGGACAGTTAACAAATTTAGCTAAAAGAATTTAAAGGAAAACCCATGAACAAGATAAGTTTTTGGTGTGATAACATTAAACTAACACCTGAAAATTGCAAGCTGAAAGTTACAACCTCAGCAAATTAGTTGTTCACGTAAACACCTAATTTAAGAGATCCAGATATATTTTAGCGACTAATAATCTGTCTGGACAACATATGTCACAAGGATGATACCCTAACCTAAGAAAAATAATTTTAGGTAATTTAGATTTGTAACACAAAGTGGGGAGGAATCAGGTGGATATATTTCTTGTCCAATCCTACCTGGGTGGGCTGGGAAGAAAAATAGGAACCTTCCCTACCCCCTACTGGTCATTCAACCACATGGGAGGGTCAGGTAGGGCCGGATGAGTGTGGGTTGGGTATGGAGGTGGGCTAGGTATGCCAACACCCTTGTTTGTTGTTGTGATTCTCAGGTAAATGTTAGTGAACTTGGTTTGGTCACACCAGCTGGGAAAGTAGTTGGAGGTAAGATTACTTTCTGTAGTTGTTGTCGTATTCTGAATGTGTCAAGCATCTCTCATTTAGCACCATTGTTTGATTTGTTTGTGTGGGAGTGCAAGTGTTAGCCAATATTTTTTATGCCTAATGGTTCTGGACCACTAAGCCACCTGGAGCTTTCATCACAAAACACCTGGCCTTGGACCACCACTTCTTACTGGGACAACAACAACTTCTCTAGCAGTAGTACTCCTTCCGTGCTCTTTTATTCTCCACTCCTCCAGATTCCTTTTATAATTATTTTGTATTTATTTGATGTACCTTTTGTATATATATAATCAGCTATTCTTTGTAGTAGGAAGTTTTTAGGATTTCCAATTGTAAGAATTCCTCAGTATTGTATCAAGAGACTGGTGTGTACTCAATCCTTGAGTGAAAAAAATAGATTACTTCTCTGTTGAAATCTTTTCATTTCAGCTTCTATGCTCAATTCCAACATGGTATCAAAGCTATAGTCACTCTTGATACACGAACAGTTTTCATCTCACTCATTGTCTTCCTTCTATCTCTTACTGAACCTCAACGGCCACCAATAACTCAAGCAACCCTCAAGGAACAAGACAAATAGTATCAGCTTCTATAAGCCAAATGGGTTCTCTTCCTTCACATCTGAGTTAGATTTCAAACTCGCCTGTCACACCTTCTCTTCCTATCAAGCTAGAGGACAGAAACTTCATGGTTTGGAAAAACCAATTAATGGCCTAGAAAGTTTTATAACAGGAGAAATAGCCAAGCCTGAATTTATTGATGAGGAACGAAATGAACCCAAAATATCAAACCTGGAATAGAATTAATCGGCTAATCATGAGGTAGATCTACAGCTCTCTGTTGACTAAAGCTCTTGGCCATATAGTTGGTTTGTCAACAACTCAGAAAATCTAGGAAGCACTACAAAGGTGATATGAAGCCTTAACAATGGCAAGATCAATGGCTCTACAGTCTCAGCTCCAATAGCTCTCCAAAGTGGGAAACTCCATAATGTAGTACTTAGCCTAACTCAAAGCAATCATAGATAGCTTAGCCGCTATTGGGGAACTAGTTTCATATAAAGATCAGATTGGCTACTTGTTAGAAGGCCTTCCAGCGGAATACAATGCTTTTGTCGTATCAATATACAATCGCTCAATGCCAACGAGTCTGGAAGAGATCAAAACTCTCCTCATTTCCTTTGAGCAATGTATGGAGAAACTGCTGACTACGGAGTCCATTTCTTTACCTCAAGCATAGTTTAGTGTGCTGAATCTTGATCAAAGAACCCGGTCGACCTCCTGCGCACAACACTAGACAACGTTTCTTCTCAGATGGCCAGCAGGACAAGAAGCCATGGCAGCTGCGCTCTGCTAGACCAGATGAGCCCTACCGCGTCTCTAGGCTTTAGCCAAGCATTTTGGGTCACAGCCCACATGCAAACTCTAGCTGTGGGCCTAATTCTAAGGCAAAGCCCAAATGTCAACTGTGTTATAAGGTGGGTCATACCATGGCCCAATGTTTCAAGTTGTTAGTATAGCCAACAGGCCCAAGCTCAAGCCCACACCTCACAAATCTCGGGTCTTCTTGATTCGGGTTGACCCGTCTCTGACCCATACACCCTACCAACTCCTCTAAGGCAATTGCACCTCTCTCTCTCATCTCCTCATCCTTTTTCAGTGCCAATACCTCCTACAAATCCATCCGACTGGCTTCTTGACTTCGGTGACACCCACCACATGACCCCTTCACTGAACATCTCTTCTCCGATCCCCTATCAAGGTCAGCCACATGTCCTCCTGGGCAATGGTTCCTCTGTTCCTATACAGTTTTTTGGCTACAAATCTCCTCTTCTCCATCCTCAATCAATTGTTCTCAAGGATCTTTTACATACTCCTCATATTTCTCATAATTTAATAAGTATTTCTCATCTTTGCTTGGATAATAATGTGACTATCGAGTTTAACTCTTCCTCTATTTTTGTTAAGGATCAGACAACCTCTCGAGTTCTTCTGCAAGGGAACCTTGACAAAGGTCTCTACCGGCTTAAGTGTTCCTCCCAGCCCTCGTCCACACAGTTGTCTTCTCTAAGTTTCGGTGATGTCGTCCCTAGGTCTTATTCAGCATTGCTTTTAGATAGCTTTAGTTTGTGGCATGCCCGACTGGGCCACCCTAGTCGAGATACCTTCTCTCATCTTTCTAGTTGTTGTAATTTTTCTGTTCCCAAAGAAACTAGTGTGAATCTCTGTCCTGCATGTGCACTTTCTAAACATCATCGATTACCCTTTTCTTTATCTTATCATCGTACTGCAAAAGTGTTTGATTTACTTCATGTTGACTTGTGGGCACCTACCCTTGTGTCATATGTCAATGGCTTGAGATATTTTTTGCTAATTGTAAATGATATCTCTTGGTTTGTTAGGATTTATTTTCTGAAAACAAAAGATCAAGCTCACTCTGCATTCCATATGTTCTATAACTTAGTTTGAACACAGTTTTCTACTACTATCAAAATTGCTTGTTCTGATTTGGGGGGGGGGGGGGGGTTGAATTTCGCCCTCTACATAACTAGTTTGCCTCTGTTGGTATTCATCATGAAGTCTCTTGTCCCTATACCCCCTAGCAAAATGGCCATATCGAATGCAAGAATCAGCATATTGTTGAGGTGGGCCTCTCCCTCCTCAACCATAGTGGCATTCCTCTTTCCTCTTGGCCTTATGCCTTTATGAGGCTGTGCTTATTATCAATTTTCTTCCTTCCAAACCTCTACAATTTCAAGTTCCTTTTGAAGTTCTTTATGGTCGGCTAGCTGACTATACCTCTTTTCATATCTTTGGTTGTGCTTGTTTTCCTCTTCTTAGGTAGTGTTCTACTCACAAACTAGAACCTAGGTCTAAACAATGTACTTTTTTGGGTCACAGTATCTTCCATAAAGGGTATCTTTGTTTGTATCAAACTTGCGGAAAAATCTATGTTTCTCAAGATGTTTTGTTCAATGAGGCTGTATTTCCTTATCTTTCCTCTTCCTCTACAATCTCTCCCTCTTCTTCCTCAGCCCCTGCCTCTCCATTCCTTCCTCTTGTGAACCCAATTTCCCCAATTCCTTCTCCTTCTTCGTCCTTTTCTCATTTGCCTTCAAATTTCAGGTCTTTTATATCTTCCTCCTCTTCCAGTTCTAACCAATCTCCTTCTTTCTTTGATCCTCCCACTTCCTCTCCCAAGATCTATGTAATAACCCATATTTTATTTGGGGAGCCAAGTGAACAAAATAAAACTTGTTGGGCCAAATTGGAAAAAAAAAAATTCAATCTGGCTGAAGAACCCAGAAGCTGGCCGAACAACCCAGACGAAATTTGCTCCAATAGGAATAGAGCAACGCAAAATTTACTTTGTAACTTTATATATAAAGCTGAGATGAGTCAAGGTGTAGGATTAATTGAGAAAATTGTGAGAAAAGAAGGAGAGAATTGAGCTGGAAAGGCCGCAGACCACCGGGGCTTTGACTGAAATTAAAAACTTGTTTCGGTTGATTTTTGTTCCGATTAACTGTGCTTAGGCGGCGTACGAGCGTCGGACATTGAGTTGGGAGGCTTCAATTCAATCAGGTAAGTGGTTTCTAGGGGTTTAAAGGGGGTTCAGGGTTTTCGGGTCCGTCGCAGACCCCGAGTCTACAACCCAGGTCTCGGGCGAAGAAGACAGACTCGGGAAATTCCCAGGTTTGTCCAGCGTTGACTAGGCCAGTTCGGCCCAGTCCGCTTTGACCGAGCCGGTTCAAGTCTCAGACTGGCCCGGACCAAGGAGTTCAGGCCGGTTTCCGGCCCGAGGAACTTTGGGGAATGTGCTTGGGCCAGTTTTAGGTGGAGAACCAGCCCGATTCACCTAGTTCTAAGGGAAAAAAGTGGTAAACCGACCGGTTTTCTAGTCTTTGGGCCGGTTCAGGTGCTTGTGGGCCTGGTTCAGGGTAGTTTTCAGGGAATTTGGGCCGGATCAGTCTAGTTCTCTGTAGTTGGGGACCGATTCT